CCCCACCCCCCCGCATCCAGCTGGAAACCTGTGCCTCAGGTAACTGGCACTTTTAGCTTACCGGCCCCCCCACCAGCCATTCCCCACTCATGCTGGTTAACAGGGATTTTACTGTACTCGGTAAAATTGAACAAACTGAAAAATGGGTATTTTTTAGTTCATTCAAAAAAAATCAGGGAATTTATCAGTGAAAACCGGTAAAAACTGAGAACACAAAACAGAAATTATGTGGCACCTTGCAGCACCCTTGAAAAGATCTCAAGGCATGCCAGGGTACTGTAGCACCTTGGTTGGGAATCCCTGCTCTACGGTGCACCCCCTCCCCTAACTTCTGTTTTCTAGAGACTAACATGGCACATGGCTAACTACCTCTGTACAGAGGAGTTGCATGTCCTGCTCCTGCAAACATGTGCTTGACTTTGAACTCTAGCAGCCCTATCAAACACCTGTTTTTGCAGTGACATCAAGCATTGACACCTGTTTGCATTGATGCTGCCTAACAGTGTGTTATGAGTATTAGGGATATATGTCTGCTGTTTCTAAAAGTTTCCAGTTATACTTTTCCTTTCTGTTTTCCTATGCAGGTCTCTGTTTGTGGTACTGGACAGTTTAAATTGTTCAGATGGTGCAATAGGTGCTGCAGCACAGGGCTGGCTGGTACGTGCCCTCTCACTTCATGACGTTGCACGAATTCTTGAACCAGTACTGTTACTTCTGCTTCATCCAAAGACCCAGCGTACTTCCATCCACTATGTCAAACAGAAAAGTACAGCAGGTAAAACTGCACTTGGGTTCCAGATGTCACAATTAATAGAACATCAGCTCACACTTAACTCCAGTTTACTCCAGCCTTTCAGATAAATTAGTCCTTTTTACAGCAGTGTTAACTGCATGTTTACACTTCACACTTACAACTCCAGTAATATTTAGATACAAGTCATACAATTTAGGGGGGTTATATCCACTTGTAACTAATTTGCTGCCTTGTCTGCCATTCGGTTACGCTTGCTAATTATTGTTACTTATAATAGCAGTCAAAAGGAGTCTTGTTCCTTAGGTGTTGTGCAGACAGCTGAAGTTGGCATGACCCTTGACCCAAGAAACTTAGAGAATGTTCAGCCTTTTAAAAAAAGCAATAATGCTTTGTTGTTAACTCCCTGTTATCAAGATTTGACACAAGAAACATTAAAACTATGTTGATATATCTGGGGACTTCCTGTACATCACAGAATACATTCTGTGCAGCCTGTGCTATTGTATTTTCAACCTGTTCTATTACTGTTCCATTGTAAAATATAACAACAGTCAAGAAAATTATTTCCGTGGGGCAAGATTTTTAACATTAAGAAAGTTTGTACATGTCATTTCCTTAATCTCCATACTTTCTCTTACTGTCACTCTTTTAATGTAAAGTATGTTGAAACATTAAAATTGAATTTGTTAACGAGTTGTAAGAACCTTAGTAAATGCTAACTTTTTAAATGTTTCTTTATCAGAAGACTTGCTTTATTGGTTCAGCAAGAAAAAAGCCTCTTTCAAAGAGCCCTTTGGAGCCTCTGAATTCCATGAAAGCAATTCTGAAGAAAGCCTACCATTGAGCCGGTTTACAACAGTAGACAGGGAAGCTATCTGGGCTGAAGTGGAAAAAGAGCCAGAGAAAACTCAGCCAAAAATTGAGCTATCTGAAAATGATCTGTGTTGCTATACAGAATTCCCACTAGATACAGATGGTGATCGTGAGAATAGTGAAAATACAGAATCAGCAGATACTAGCACTGGACCTGTTGATAGTGAAAATACCTCATCTTTTTCTGCTTCTCTGGATCCACAAGAATTGAGCAATGAGGAAAACCACAGTACTGCAATAGACTGCAAAGAGAACCCGAAACATGTTAATTCATCTAATATGTGCGTTCCTGATGGCTCCATACCTAGTACTATGTTAAATCTTGTGCGTGCAGATTCTGAGAAAACTCAAGCATCAGAATCTCTATCAAGTGATGATGAGGCCGACTTGGAACTTCAAGATATTACAACTTCTAGGTTGCTGAAGCAGCGGAAGGAAAAACGAAAGATGATAGAGGCTTTATTCAAACATATTCTTTTGTATTTGCAGCCTTATGATTCAAAGAGGGTTTTATATGCCTTCTCTGTATTGGAGGCAGTGCTCAAAACAAACCCCAAAGAATTCATTGAAGCTGTAGCAAGTACTAGCATGGATACCAGCTCCACAGCTCACCTGAATCTCATCTGTAATCTTCTGGCTCGTCACCAGGAATCTCTTGTGGGACAGAGCTTTTATGGTAAACTCCAAACTCAGTCTCCAACCATGTGTCCCCATTCTTTATTAATAGAGTTGCTGACTTACCTCTGCTTGAGTTTTCTTCGTTCTTACTATCCCTGTTACCTGAAGGTAACCCACAAAGATGTGCTTGGCAACAGAGATGTCCAAGTTAAAAGTGTGGAAGTCTTGATCAGAATGACAACACAGCTGTCTACAATGGCAAAGTCAGCAGAAAGTAAAAATATAGAGTTTATACGCAATTTGCTTGGGAGGTGCAAAATGCAAGAGTTTGTTCTTCTTTCTTTGTCTGCTTCTATGTACACAAGTCAAAAACGGTATGAATTTATGATATCTGACAAAAATAGCAGTGTTATTGAAGACAGCCTCTTTGAAGAAAGTCTAATCAATTTTGGGCAGGATCAGATTTGGAGTGAACATCCACTTCAGATTGAGTTGCTGAAGCTTTTGCAAGTATTGATTGTCCTGGAGCACCATGTTGGACAGTCTCATGAGGAACAGGAGAACCAGCCAGACCTTTCCAAGGAATGGCAGCAGGCGCTGAACTTTCAGCAGGCTATTGGTGCAATACAATATGTATATCCACACCCTATAACTTCACAAGGACTATTTGTCTCTGCCGTGGTTAGAGGTTTGCAGCCAGAGTATGGCTATGGAATGCACCCACCTTGGGTTAGCTTAGTCACATGTTCTTTACCATACTTTGGGAAGTCTTTAGGCTGGACTGTGGCACCATTTATAGTACAAATATGTAAAAACCTGGATGAACTTGTTAAACAGTATGAAAATGAATCTGTGAAGATGTCTACAAGGAATTCTGAGAGGTAAGACATACATCCACAAATTTATGCTTATTTAACATGTTTCTGTACAAAGTACAGTCCTTATGAGCTCATTTTCTCAAAAACCTTATTTTGTCAAAAGTACTTCGAAATTACTAGGATTTTTATCTAAGCGAAGTTTTTGAAACATCTACTGTGTTATTTCTTTTGTGTTTTTCCATTCATCTGCAGCTAGTACTGTACAAAGAACTGAAAACACTCTTTGAATGTTACTTATGTTAGTTGTACTGTTAATCATTTGTGTTTTTCTCCAAAACATAACATTTAAAAGGGAGAATATTACACCAGACTATCCTCTAACGCTTTTGGAAGGCCTAACAACCATTGGTCACTTTTGCCTTTTGGACCATCCTAACCAGGCCAAAAAGGTAACTGCTTTTTCTTATTACTTCCGTAGGTAATAGTTTCAAAATGCCAACTGTCCATTTGGCTGCAGCTCAGCAAACCACAAAAGCACAATCTTTAAGTCAAAGGTACCAAACCCACCTGGCCCAGCAGGCCAGTTTGGGGTGTACTGCTTGTGGCATGCAGGTCCAGTTGGAGACCCATAGGCAGCACTACAGGCTGGGTGATAACACTTCACAGGATGGATCCAACTTTCATGCCCAGTCTTTGACACCCTTGCCTGAAGTGCATTGCCAAATTGTGACTATAAATAGTAAAGGTTATCTAATGGGGTGGGCCCAGAAATGGAAGGTTCATGTACTCAGTTCCCTTGAGTGTAGGTAAAGAAGGACATACTCACAGAAATCATAATGGAATTTTTTTTTCACCCCAGCCTTGTATGTAGTTGACAGCTCTCTGCGTGTGCATGGGAATTATTGGACACTAGCCATTTCCTTTCAAAATAAAATAGGCACCATTTAAACAAAGCTATTAATGTCCACATCTAAGGTACAGTTATGTTGTTGGAGAGACATCACCTAGTTTGCAGTATTTTTTTGTAATTGCTCTAAAGCAGTGTATTTGTTTATACATGGAAACAGGAGTAAGTTGTATTGTCAAAGCAGTCCATATACATTTTTACTATATCTGCTTTTCCCAAGAAAGCCTCCCCAGCATTGTCTTAGTGTTTGTTTTTTTCTTTTAGGTATGTTATTATGTGTGAGTGACTGAATACAAGTTTTCCATTTTAAAAAATGAACTGCAGGGGGTGGTTCATAATTTGTATCCTATACAGCAAAAATAGAGTAGATTTATTGGTATGTTCTTTAACACTCAAATACATGTGCATCCTATACTGCTTTTCAACAGTTAACTTATGTCTTTAGATAAACTGGTAAGTTTCTGTAGAATAGTTAACTAAGCAAGAGTGTGCCAACAGTGTGTATTGTAAGTGACACATATATATACACACACATACACGTATACAAATTAATCTCTGTACCTTGTTTTGTGTATCACAAAGGGCTGTGACTCTAGTTTCCATAATGAGTAGCATCGACCATAAACAGAACTGAATAGCTGATAGTATTTTCCAAAGTTTTTACAAAAGATTTTTGTGGAAAGAAAATGTCTGTGTTAAAAAATTGTGGTATAATGGTAAGGTTAATAAACCTGCATACTCTCAGGTATGACAGCTAAAATACTTAATACAGATATTTCTGTTCTCCTAGTCACCATCTGTAGCTGAACCTACAAACCTGAGAAATGCCAGGAATGCCATTTTGGAAGAACTGCCTCGCATTGTTAATACTATGTCTCTCCTTTGGAGTGTTTTAAAAAAGGAAGACTGTCAAAGAAGACCATCTGACTTCTTTGGAGCAACTAAAGGCTCTTCAGTTTACTTCAAAGCAGCTAAAGTAGGAATTCTGTCCAGGCACACATACTCACTCTCTCTCTCTCCTCCCCTACCTTCCATATTGGTGTGAGGCTCTCATGTCATTCTCACAATACTATTAAAATGAAAAGAGTTTCAAAGATTCAGCTAGGCCATTGCCTTTCATGGGGTCAAGTTCCACAATTTGAACCAGCCGCTCAGGTTGTAGCTATGACTTATTCCCAAGAAGGATTCCCTTTCAAAACAAAGCAGGATTTATTTTATCAAAAGCTATACAGTGCTTAGAAGTGAATTTGATATAACAGAGCCTGGCAGGCATAATCCCTTGCCTAAGTGTGCCTTCTTTGTTTATGGCTCAGATAGGTCCTGTTCCCCATCTCTGAGCTTACAACCTTAAGTAGTGCTACTGTACTATCTCTGTGTGTTTCTGCCCAGCCTGCCTGCTTCTTCCAGGTCACCTTAACAGCCTTTTTAGCTGTTTAAGCTCCACTTTAGCTTTGGGAATGGTAAAATCATCCCAGCCAGCCTGCATGGATTTGGTCAGATTTTTAGATTCCATAAAAGTAAATTTACAGTCAGCTTCCTTTGTTTTTACTTGTGCCTTCAGGGAGGCAGCAACTTACAACTGAGTAGGATAACAGTTTCAGAAAATATTCCCAATACAGATATTTTCCCAGTTATTGATATAAAGATTGGGGTTTTTACAGCAGTTTACTTGAATCAGTAACAAATAATTAGTTAGTTCATTGATTTAATAGGTTTTAAGTAATCTTAGTTATGGTTTTTAACGTTCAGGTGTATAATAATTTGACTTTGTGGTTTTGGGGAGCTGAAAAGTTGGCTTGGGGTTTTTTCCCCCTTTTTTATCAATAAAACTTGTAAAAACAATGTTGAATCAATTTTTCAGTAGGGAAACTGGATGGGAAAAACATAACATCTGAATAAAGTAACGGGCTTTCCTCCAACTGTTTAGATTTTACCCTTTGGTGTATATAGGAGGCAGAAAATAATTGATTGACGTGAATGAGGAAAATATAAAGGGGTGTTTCAGTTGCATATGTTTTTCCAGAAAATGATGACTTGGCATACGTGCAATCTCTTTTACATTTGTCTGCTAACCCTTTGCTGCTCTCCTTATATGCTTCAAATCCTTTCTTCCATTTTTAAACTATTTTTCCTATTAATTTTCCATAGGGTCACCTCCTTATCAAGTATCTCGCCACACTGTACTCTGCTGAATTGCCATCCTTTGCTCAACTGTTATGTAATCATTTTATATAATACTTATGAATAAAATACTAGACTCTTGACCCCTTTTACAGATGCTGATTGATAACCAGAGTGAGAAAAGTACTGACTTTAAAATATCTGGGGAGAAGGGAAAGAATATGACATGGTAGAAAATAAATCTAGCATCTTGGAAAGCAGAAATGAGATGCTTTCCAAGATATTAGACATAATTCTTTAATGAAATAGGAAAAGATCATAAGTAAATTAAACTAACACAAAAACAAAAAATACAGTAATATTTGTTTATGATTATGTAACTTCTTCTGAATAGTGTTTTAAAAGGAAAGTATTCTACAAATATACACTGAAAATTAACCTTAAACATTTTGAGGGTGCCGTGACAGATTTTTTTATTTCTTTTTATAGGCAATAAAGAATAAAATACTAGAATTTTTGAATCCGTTGACAGCACAACTAGGAGTCCAGTTGATGGCAGCAGTGGCAGCAGTATGGAATAGTAAAAAAACTCACAAGAGTCAAAGTAAAGTAAAGGTAAAGTTAGAGCTGCAGCTTTTAATTTATGTGATTAGCTGATGCTTTTTTAATGTCAAGACATGTTTTGTTCACAGAGCTAGTGCTGAAATTCAAATTCTGATTTATTTTTTGTGGGAGTGGCAAAGGAAAGCTGTTAGACAAGAATATTTTAATTTGGTATAAATAATTACAACTTAGCCTGCAGACTGTTAATAAAGGGGAAATGAAGGAATTATGGTGAATTATGCACTATAAAAGAAATATATTTTCAAAAAGGAAAATATTTTAATTAAAAACAACATGGTAAAGGCATACATTTTGTTTCGGATATGACTCCTGGAACACAACCTGTGACATCTTCAGACTTTTGCATTAAAAAAAAAGAAAAGTCCTGGTCTCTGCTTCCTTAGCCAACCTGTAAAACCCATCCAAGATTTTGCTACATGTGGCAAGTATGCTTTTGTTTAAGCCTTTCTTAGAGGCATTGTTTGTTATTTGCAACCAAGGCTGAGGGTGTTGACTGGGGTGTGCCAATGCTCCTACTTAGACTTAAAGCCAGAGATTCCTGGTTGGAGGGTCTTGTTCCTCCACTCAGGGTCAGACCAATCGCCATATGTGGGTTCAAGAAGGAATGTTACCCCATGGTCAGATTAGTATGGGATCTGGGGCTTTTGCCTTGCTGTGTTGTGGAGGGTTTGGCCCTCTACCTGGGATCTCTGAAGCATATATTAACAACCTCTTAGAGAAGCAGGATGTCAGCTGCCATAGTCCTCTTGCTTTACCTGTGGCAATTTAGGGTGTTATATCTTGGTGTTGCTTCAGGGTTGACAGTAGTTTTAGTAAGAGGTTAGATGATGGACTGGATAGGATAGTTTGGATAGGGATGATCCTGCTTCACGTAGAGGGTTGGACTAGCCTATGACCTATGAAGATCCCTTCCAGCACTATTTCTCTGTTTTCTGTGAAAACATTTTTATGGGCAAAATAAGGAAAACTTTTTTGACACATGGCAGTGTGCTGCTGTTCTGGGGTTTGTTTCATTTTGCTTTCCTTATTCTTTTCCCATAACAAACACAATCTTTGTGGCTTACTTGTTTCTGGGAACATTGAGATTTATTCACTTTTTAAATATATACAATGTTAGAGCTTGCTCTTATTTCTCAGACATTAGGGGTTTGTTTTTGTTTTTTTTAATAAAAAAGCCAAAATGACCAAAGAGCCTAAAACCTCAAAACTCTTCCTAACAGAATTGTGTAAACAGATATATGTCCATGAAATGTTTTTGCTTTGAAACAGCCTGTTTTCACTCAGTTTAAGAAACAACCTCAAATAAAATTAAGTCTCTGAGACCATGGTGATAAACTGCATATACAAACATAAGTACGGCTAAGTATAATATTCCAAGCCAAGTGCAGTATCTTAGTACAGAGCCATTTTTTAATTTTTGGAGCCTTAGAGATTCCAGTTTTCCACCATTGCATTCAAAAGCCTGGGGTCAGATACCTTTCTAGAGAGGAGAGATTAGATGCATTTCCCTCTGATAATGAAGAGTTTTTTCTATTTACATTCATGTTCAGCTGCAACTTTGATTTGAATACACTGCTTCAGTAGCAGTGCCACCATGCCAGCAAAGGTGAGAGTGAGTAAATGAGATCCACATTCTGATACCCTTGTGGTTCCTCTGTCAACTTGTTACATGTTTACTAACCCTTTTGTTTGCATTTGTACTTGATGGTATGGAATGATGATTTCCTATTTTCTTTTCTTTTTAATTTTTTGGTCAAAGATTCTGCCACTGGCTAGTGTGTCACAGCTTATTCTTGTGGACTTAGTATGTGCACTTAATACCCTGAAGTTTGACACTATATTACAGCTGGTAAAAGAAGTGGTCAAGAAACCATCCCAAATAAGAGGCGAAGAGGTAAGCCATGAATTAGTTTTTCTAAAGCATATTTTTAACATGGATGATCTCTCCTCCCTCCCCACTCCACACTTGGGTAAAGCCTGTAAAACAGAATAAAGCATGAAGAAATCACAAGGTTTTATAAGGGTAGCATAACTACAATGCATTTCTGTCCCCCAGTTGTCAGCAGTAAGGTCATGGTCAGGGAGCTGTTATGTATGTCTGACTCCCTAGTTCTTGTAATAGTCTGTCGAGGGATGTTACACTCAGCACAAATAGGTGCAAGTCCCAGTACTAACTTGGAACCTTCCTGGTGGAGGTGAGGGGAGACGCATATGACTTCTTTCTGACCTGTTGAAGGGCATGTCTGAGGACCTGGGTCCATATGCTTTTTTTGCATGTTATGAATATAGCTCTATCTCTAAAAATGAAATAGTTCTAACTTATGTGGCTGTCATCCTATTTTGTTTGCTTTGTGCATTTCACCTTGCTTAGATAACTGCAATTTCATTTCCCTTCAAACAGTATCCTTTTAGTCCTTTTCAAAGGAATAAAAATAAGGAATTTTGGTTACTAGCCAGTCACTTTCCCTTTGTAGTTCTCACTACAGCGCCGCTCCACCAAGTCTCCAAACATGGGTGCAGAATTTTTAAGTTTAAACAAAATGTAAAAGTTTCCACTGGAATATTAACAAACACCAACATTCTTCTTCATATTAGATTTTATAAATCCCTTTTTATTAAAAAGTAAGGTTCTAAACTATATTTCAATATTCTGCCAAGCCCCTGACGCATCGCTAGAGTAATCATTTGAAACATAACTTACAAATTGAACACCACTGTTATGGTGTTCTAAGGTTTCCCTTCAAAATAAAACAAGCGCCATTTAAACAAAGCTATACATATCCACATTTAAGATACAGTTATGTCTCTTTGTTAGGCTAAATTTATATGTTTACTTAACTCTTGACACACAGACATTTTGGAAATACAGCAAAAAGATTACTTGACTAAAATTCCATCGTAATGAGTGTTTTAAAACCTATTAAGTAGTACTTTTGCTTACATTAACATGTCTTTTAGGTCTTCCTTTCTATGAAGTAAGGTGTTTAAAATTGGATGTTCAGCTCAGTCATGTGCCATCTGGTCATCCAGGAAATGTAACTTTCAGAGCTCTTGGCAGAATTTCATCTCTTAGACTCACTGGTTGTCTTTACATGTGCTCCAGGGGTGTAAGGAACACTTTAATTAGAGCAGCTCCAAGAGCTGCTGTAATTAAAACGCTCACAGCATCTCATGTATCAGCGTCCCTACACTTCAAAATGGCAGCGGAGGCACTTTAACTAAAACTTGTTTGACGAGCTTTATAGCACCCCGCCACCATTTTGAAGTGCAGGAACACTGATACATGAGATGCGGAGGCTGTTTGAGCGCGCTAATTAGCACACTCCCGCAGACTCGATTCGAGTCTGTTCCAATGCACTGTAATTACAGTGTGTCAGAGCAGTATCCCTACATGTCTACAGGCACCCCTAGTGGCTGGTCAGCATAGAAATAACCTGAATGACTCTTGGTTATTGTCACCAATATTTCCTTGTTAGCTTTCTGCTTTAATGTAGCAGGCTTCAAGGAAGTCAGTCTTATTACCCTGAAGAGAGCTACATGTATGTTTATGTATCTTTAAAGGAATTTTATTTGGTGGAGAGAAATTTTAAAGTGATGGGTGTTGCATTATTCCAGTGTTCCTAGGTAAAAGCTCTGACCTGCTGCTTATATCTGCACAGGCAAGGCACAACCCGTCCGTCTCAAACTGAAGAATTGGTTGCTACCAGGAGAAAACAATTTTTCCATTAAACATTTAAGTCCTCTAACAGTTTAGACTTAATTTTGTAGAAAACAATAAATTGCTTCTCCTATTTATTTTTCAGAAAACTTCCCTAGTGGATATCCCAGTACTGCAGTTCTGTTATGCTTTCATTCAGAGGTAATAGCCACTGTATAGTTAAACAGCAGATCATTCTATGTTGCAGCTCAGTTAGCATTGCTATTTTAGCCTAACTCCTCACCTTCACAACTCCTTGGTAAACTTGGCATGGGGAAGGCTCCTTTAATTAAAACTCTTCTTCACGTTCATTGGAATGCCTTGGGAAACTAGTCTTCAAAGCCACTGCACTCTACTCATTAAACCCTTCCTGAAGACCCACTTCCTCCAGAGCACTCTTCCTCCAGAGCAAGAGGAGAAAGAGACTTAACAGTGGGGGTCTACTACAGATCACCCAACCAAGGGGAAGAGCTAGACCAGGAACTCTTAAGTCAGCTCATGGAGGTAGTTAGGTCAAAGGACGTGGTCATCATGGGTGACCTGAACTTTCTAGACATCTGCTGGGAAGGGCAGTCAGCCAGGTCTGACCGCTCACATGGGTTCCTAACCAGAATGCAGGACCTCCATCTAACCCAGGAGGCGCACAGCCCCACCAGGGGAGATGCCTTGTTGGACCTGATGCTGGCCACCAGCGACGACCTGGTGAGGGGGCTGCAGGTGCTTGACCACCTGGGTGACAGTGATCATCGCCTGCTGGAATTCACCATCCAGCACAGGATGGCAAAGGCCTGCAGCAAGACAGCAGCCCTAGATTTCCAGAGGATGGACTTCAGTGAGCTAAGGAGAATAGTCGGGGAAGCACTGAGGTCCCGGAGGGGAGGGGAGCCAGGTGCCTAAGAAGAGTGGTCGCTCCTTAAGGAGACGATCCTCCAAGCCCAAAGGGAGGTAATCCCAACACAGATCAAAGGGAGCAGGAGCGTTCAAAAGCCCCCGTGGCTCACCAAAAGCATCTGGGAATGTCTCCTAGCCAAAAGAGAAGCATACACCCAATGGAAGGGAGGGGCCATCACCAGGGAGGATTATACGGCAGTTGCTTGAGGATGCAGGGGGGCAGTCAGGAAGATCAAGGTGGAGATGGAACTGGGACTAGTTTCCTGGATCAAGGACAACAAGAAGTCCTTTTCTAAATACATAGGGGGCAAAAAGAAGGTACCAGGTAACGTGGGGCCTCTGCAGGACACGCTAGGAAATCTGGTCGTCACACCAGACGACAAAGCCAACATATTTAACGATTTCTTTGCCTCCATTTTCCTGAGCAGGGACCAGAACAGCCACCCCCCCTCTGGGTCCCCCTTA